TAAGGAGGGGAAGATGTATATGAATAAGACCTTATTCCTGCCCTCAAGTTGCTAAGAGTTAATAAATTGCTTATTTTGACCAGAACAGTACTGTGTTCTCCAGCAGAATAAAGTGCTACATCATTCTGGAATTGGGGAGGTGAGGACTGGTGTGCAGGGGTGTGGATATCATCAGAGATGAAGTCCTGCTTTGTCAGGCTTATCAATAATTTGCACTCTTTCTGGGAGCGCAGGATTGGTGATAGCTCACTGCATTATTGGCTTTTTAGTTCACAGTTCCTGTTTGGTCTTCTCTTGTTAGAGCAGTTATGGCCTTTTCAAGAGTTTCTTAAAAATCCTATTATCAGTCTTGATTCTTTTTGGGTAACTGCTAGGTACCTTCTAACAAAACCACCTCCTCCCAGGATAAGTGAATGAAAGAGTTTACCAACTTTACCTTCCTCTGTCAAAGTTCTTGAGTTCTTTACTGGTAACCCGCGTATTAGCTATGTGATCTTGAACCTCTCTGAACCTTAGTTTTTGTACCTTTCAAATGACAAATGACGTGATCTTTCTTCTTGTGAGGATTGAATGACTAATATACTAGTTTTGAGAACGGGAGAGTGGAATGGGGAAGGGAAGTAGAGGACTGACAGTTTCTTTCTTTTAGTAAATACTGTGTATCTCTGCTTTATTTTGAAAAATAAATTTTTATGAGTATTTTTTTTCTAATCAGAGTAATAAAGATTTTATTTTTTAAAAACAAAGACTTAATGTGGTGGCTCATGCCTGTAATCCTAGTACTCTGGGAGGCCGAGGCGGGCAGATTGTTTGAGCTCAGGAGTTTGAAACCAGCCTGAGCAAGAGCGAGACCCCGTCTCTACTAAAAATTGAAAGAAATTAATTGGACAACTAAAAATATACAGAAAAAATTAGCTGGGCATGGTGGCGCATGCCTGTAGTCCCAGCCACTTGGGAGGTTGAGGCAGAAGGATTACTTGAGCCCAGGAGTTTGAGGTTGCTGTAAGCTAGGCTGACGCCACGGCACTCTAGCCCGGGCGACACAGTGAGACTCTGTCTCAAAACAAACAAACAAACAAACAAAACAAAACTAAAAAAACAAAGACTTCAGTATATCGTTTTTATAGAGAAACAGGTTTCTAATAAATATTTCCCTATCTTTCCACTCAGGTACTTATTGCTACATTACATGAGGGAAATGAAATACTAGAACCCTACCCCATGCTACTCAGTGAGGTGGTAGCGAGGTAAGAAAACAACCCTTTCCCTTAAGAAGAAATTGCAACTTAGGAGGTTGTAATCTTTGGGAGAGGCTCAAAGGGATTGATGATGATGATAACAGCAATAACAGTAATGGGTAATTTTGATAAGCTGTGCTAAGGCACTGTGCCAAGCGCTTCTTGTGGATCATCATCTTTTAACAACTGTAGCCATCAGTACTGTGAGAAGCAGAGCAGTGTAGGAGTAAGGAGCATAGACTCTGGGATCAGACCTCCTGCACTGACATCTCAGCTTTGCCAGTAACTGACTGTGTGGCCTTGAAGAAGAAAACTGCCTCATTTTCCTCATCTGTGCAGATGGTCCCTGACTTACAATACTTCGACTTAACAATTTTCAACTTTATGATGGCACAAAAGCAATATGCATTAATTAGAAACTATGCTTCAAATTCTGAATTTTGATCTTTTCCTGGGCTAACGACATGTGGTATGATACTCTCTCATGATGCTGGGCAGCGTGATCACGAGGGTAAACAGCTAATAGTGTATTCTACACAGTTTACTGTATTTAATAAATTATACGAGTTATTCAATACTTTATTATAAAATAGGCTTTATATTAGATGATTTTGCCCAACTACAGGCTAATGTTAGTGTTCTGAGCATCTTTAAGGTAGGCTAGGCTAAGCTATGATGTTCGATAGGTTAGGTATAGTAAATGCATTTTTTTTTTTTTTTTTTTTTTGAGTTAGGGTCTCACTCTGTTTCCCGGACTAGAGTGTGGTGGCGTGATCATAGCTCACTGCAACCTCAAACTCCTAGGCTCAAGCAATCCTCCTTCCTCAGCCTCCTGAGTAGCTGGGACTACAGGCATTCACCACCACACCTGGCTGATTTTTTTCTGTTTTTGTTAGAGATAGGGTCTTGCTCTTGCTCAGGCTGGTCTCGAGCTCTTGACTTCAGGTGATCCTCCTGCCTTTGCTTCCCAGAGTGCTAGGATTACAGGCATTGGCCACCTCGCCTGGCCAGTAAATGCATTTTTGATTTAAAGTATCTTTAACTTAAGGTAGGTTTATCAGGATGTCTCATCATTGTAAGTTGAGGAACATCTGTATCTGTAAAATGAGGTGAATGGTAGTACCTGCTTCCTAAGGATGTTGTGATGGTTAAACGACATAAGCCATGTAAAGTGTTTAGCATAGTGCTTGGCACATAGAAAGTGCTCACCAAATGTCAGCTGTTATCATAATTAAAATAGTTGTTATCCTCATTTAATAGATGGAGAAACAAAGGCTTAGAGAGAGGTAAAGTAATTCACCTAAGTCACATAGCATATAAATAATGGAACCAGTTTGCACCCAGGCAGTTAAACTCCAGAGCTTTTGCTCTTAATTATTAAACTGCATCCCTTTAGTAGGTTGAGGGGCAGAGACAAAAACTGCATGTCATTGAACTTGACTTGAGTGTAAGTATAAAGGTCAGGCTTGGGTTTTGACCTGTTGAAGCTTCATTGTGATCTTAAGCATCTTATCACCATAGTGAACTTCGATTATTCTCTGAGTTGATTCTTCCCTAGATCCAAAGAAATGAATGATAGGTTAGTTATGTTCTCCTGCTGAGGGGTTGGGTGCTCCCTGGGCCAGTAAATGGAGCTAAAACAACATGTGTCTCAGTGTTCTTTGGACCTGAAGTAGGAGCTTGTCCTGTCTTTCTTGTTATTATGCTCGTCTCTCTTCTTAATATGACTGGTAATGGTGAGAAGCAAAGCAGTGTACACACTGAGAACTTTCTACATGCTGTGTACTTCACATGGATTATCTCATTTAATCCTTAAAATAATCTTATAAGTAGTCACTCCTATCCCTATTTTGCAGAGTCAAAGAGAGGTTAGGAAACTTGCTTAAAATCATATAGTTAATAAGTGGTAGAGTTGGGATTTGAATAGATCTGGCTCCAGAGTCCATGCTCTTAACCTCTGCACCTTACTGCTATAGTCTTCTTTTACCTGTGTAAAGTAGGTAGTATGGGCTGTATGGTTTAAGAGGTAGTAGGGCCAGTTCTGTTTTTCTCATCTGGAAAATGGAAAGATTTTGACCACTGAACTAGGAATAAGAAGGCCTATGATCTTGTCTTGACTCAGTCACCAGCTTGCCATATCTAGGACTTCACTTTTCTTAGCCTTATTGTCCTCATTCATTAAACAAAAGGGTTGCTCTAGGTGGTTTCTGAGGTCCCTTTGAATGCTGATGTTCTGGTAAGTAAAAAGAGTAACACACCTGCTCAGCTCCTAGAGTTTGGGGCAGTGCTATTTGTGAGGTCTTTGGGAATCAGCCTTGTGCAGGGAAGATGCCAGATTCTAGGGGAAGGGATGAGCCACCTTCTTGAAGTAGGTAGGTCTGGGCTCTTTTTTGAGGCTAGTTTCTAAGGGAACTCAGCCTCTGGCCAGCAGCAGCCAGGAGTGCTTTGGTTGAGGCTTGGTATAGGTAACTAAAACAAGCAGTACATTTAGGTTTCATTTCCTGCTCCCCCCTTTTCCTTTCCCTTTCCTTTTCAAGGTGCTAGTTTTATTTTTTTATTTTTTCATACGAAGGTGGGGAGTGAGGTTCAATTTCTTCTTTTTTGTTTTTTTTTTTTTTTGAGATAGAGTCTCACTCCGTTGCCCTGGGTAGAATGCAGTGATGTCATCATAGCTCACTGAAACCTCAAAACTCTTGGGCTTAAGGGATCCTCCTGCCTCAGCCTCCCGAGTAGCTGGGATTATAGGTGCATACCACAATGCCTGGCTCATTTTTCTGTTTTTAGTAGAGACAGAGTCTTGCTCTTGCCAGGCTGGTCTCAAACTCCTGAGCTCAAGAAATTCTCCCGCCTTGGCCTCCCAGAGTGCTAGGATTACAGGTGTGAGCAACCGTGCTTGGCCAAGCTGCTATGTTTGAACACTTTCATGTGTCATACGTTGTTTTAAGTGCTTAATTAACAAAGTATTATATTATTTAATCTTCATAGTAATCTCATGAAATAGGTACTGTAATCACTCTACATTTACGGATAATGGAACTGAGGCAAATAGTTAAATAATTTGTCCACTTTTACTCAAGTAGAAATTAGTATCAAACCTATACTTTTAGCCACAAGGTTGAACTGCCTAGTTGGATCTTAAAAAAAAATAAACGGAAGGAGGACCGTAGTTATTTTTTAATGTTTTTTTGTTTGTTTTTTATTCTTGTTTTATTTAAAATAATAGACTCCTGGAGCTGGAAAGAGCCTTTGAAGTAATTTAATACAATCTCCTTATCTCCAGTCTGCCATCCAGTTACAGGAATGCTTTCTGTTGTCCCCTTGACAGATGATCATACAAGTTGTCTTTGAATACCTCCATTGATGGGGGAGCTCATTACTTCTTGAGTACATTATTATATTGTTGAGTAGCTCTAATTGGTAGAAAGTTATTTCTTGTTTTGAATCAAAATCTAATTGAAACTTTTTACTAATTTTAGGTCAGTCCCTAGAACCATACTGGGTAAGTATAATTCATATTCCACATACCAGCCTTATGAACCTTTGAAGACAGTCTTCCTCTTTATAAAGCATATTTCCTGTCTTTCATAGATAGCATCTACTCTTACTGTCAATTCAGATGAGTCTGTGCAAAAGCAACCTCTACCTTTCACTATTTTGCAAATACAGCCTAACAAATCTGTGCTTCATTTCTTGTGATTGTTTAGGCACAAAGTGAATGGACTTGCCCACATCCTTGGAGAGTCAGTGATGGTGAGCTAAGTCTTTGTAATTGCATATGAGTCTGGAGAGTTTGTAGTCTCCTACTCTTATAATCTTTAGGAGGTCAGTCAGTCTGCTGCCCTACACACTCCATCTGAGCTCACAAAATGGCTGGAAGTTTATCTGGGCACTTGACAAATTGCATTTACTTCATCAGGCCACTAGGTGATGAACAACTCAAACCCAGACTGCCAGGGACTGTTGTGTACAGGACAGTTTCTGTTTGTACTTAGAAAGGCCATCAGAAGTCATCCTGTCCAACTTCATTGAAAGGTTTTTTGTGGAGAGGTAAATGTTTCTTGTATACTTTGTCTTTCCTGGCTTTGTTCTAATTTAAAATATTAATTGGCCAGGACATTTCTTTGAGTGATTTTCATAGGATGGGAGCATGGGTGGTACTTTGAAAGTCTTTATATGTCTAATTTCTTTCTTTTTTCTTTTTATTTCTTTTTTTATTTTATTTTTTTTGAGACAGGGTCTCATTT